CCCCAGGGAGGAGGCAATACTTAGATTCTTGGATTTTATAATTATTCGGTGACTGTCACCTCCGCATTGTCCTCTTTCCTTTTTTCCATCATTTGTACAACTCCTAGCTTCACGTGCCTGTTTGGAAATTGCCGTCTGTAACTGAAGACTTAGGCAAACTCCAAGAGAAGGATTCCGTTTAGCCAGCATTTACTGAATACTGCACCACTCTATGCTGTCACTCTGGGTGTCATTGAGAAGCAAAACAAAACTCTCTGCAGCTCAAGGAATTCTGGGGTAGATACGTTTGACTACTGAGCAATGGTTTATAACTGCTCTTTAGCGGAACTTCTGATACTATCAAATATTGCATTATGTAAAGTTCATAAAGTGTTCTTTCTTAAAGGTTTCTTCAAAGTTGTCCAATATTTTACTCCAACTATCCACAAACGTTTCTCTGTCCCCCTCATATGAATTTGTTGTCGTGTTTAACTTGAATGTAAATTTGAATGCAGTTTCATATAGTTTCCTAGTCTCCTAAATTGCACAGAAGCCAAAAGTATATACACTATTTTTATCTAAATATTTTCTTCCACAAAGTAATTGTCTTACTTACTCATGCTAGTCTGTCAGGTAATAATTTCGATTAGGATTTTTTTTAAGATTCTTTCTTTCTTTCTTTTTTTTAACTTATGGTGACCCAGTAGGATAGGGTAGAACTGCCCCTGTGGGTTTCTGAAACTAACTCATGACAGGAGTAGAAAGCCTGGAACTGCTGGTGGTTTCGAACTGCTGCCCTTGAGGTTAGCAACCTAGTGCATAATAACCACTACACCATCAAGGCTCCTCTTAAGTATAAAAGATTTAATTTTTTTACTGTACTAACTGACATGAGGCCTGTGATTTTGAACAAATCTATATTAATGTCAAATACCACATTTGTTAAATATTTTGTTTTTTTCTTTGTTGTTTTTTTCCTTGATTCTTTCAAATGTTATAAATGATACAATCATGGTAGTTAACTTCAGTACTATTTTTTTAATTAATATTTAATTAACTTGTTTTTTTTCTAGGATCTTAATTCTTATCTTGAAGACAAAGTCTACCTTACGGGCTATAACTTTACTTTAGCCGATATTCTGTTATACTATGGACTTCACCACTTTATAGTAAGTATTTGAATAGTTATTGGTGTTTTTCCCCCATATCATTCAGCATGATGAATTATGTAGGTGTTTACCTGTTTTTAAGTTAAAATTTTTTTTAATTATAAAATAAAAATGAAAGACCTTTTTAAACAGTATACATATGCAACAATTTCTTTCTTTTTTTTAACAATTTCTTTCATATATCCACATAACATAGTACCTCTCTGGACCTGTTTAATTCTCAACCTTTGCTTCCACTCTTTTAGCAGCTTTTCTCGCCCCTCTCTGCACTTTATCATTATCATACTGTTCTGCCTCTGCAGAATGAATCTAGTACTTTACCTTCTGTGTAACCTCTCGTCTAGCTATACCTTTTGTTACTCCCCATCCCCACCATTGTGGGAAGTAGCTTGATTCTTGCTCTTCCTATCAAGACCCCCTTTTGCATCACTTTAACTCCATCTTCTTAATCACATCTTCAGCACCTCCATTCTGCTCTATATTCATCATTATTTTCCGGTAAATC